AGGGAGTTGCAGAGAGTGAGGAGGTCTCCCCTGAGCCTCCTCCTCTCCAGGCTGAACAGCCCCAGCTCCCTCAGCCTCTCCTCACAGCACTTGTGCTCCAGTCCCTTCCCCAGCCTCGTTGCTCTCCTCTGGCCCTGCTCCAGCCCCTCCATGTCCTTCCCTGAGCTGAGGGCCCAGAACTGGACACAGCACTCCAGGGGTGGCCTCACCAGCGCTCAGTCCAGGGCAAGAATCACTTCCTTGGCCCTGTTGGCCACCCTGTTCCTGAGCCAGGCCAGGATCCATTGGCCCTCTTGTCCCCCTGGGCACACTCTGGCTCCTGTTCAGCTTCTTTTGAAACTCCAGACATCCTTTATGAGGCCGAAAACGTACTTGTTCATTTTTCATTCCCACCTCATTTCCCGCTGCCTGGCTCCGTGCTCCGGCTGTGGACGGCACTGCCTTCGGCGTTACCTTGTGTTGCTCCGTGGGGAGGTGCCTGAGGCAGTCTCAGGGCACTGGACACCCTGTCACCACAAAGCCCATCTCAGCCCACCCAGAGCTGGGCCTGGCTGTGTGCAAAGAGCCCTGGACTCCTGTGGGCTCCTCACAGATTTCTGCCTGCAGGAACAGCTTGTAGGGCTAAGGCTTAGAAGGGATTCCTGAAAGGTGCTTTTCACAGCACAGATGATGTGAGGCAGGTCTCAGATACAGTCACACGTGTTAAAACATATGTCTTTCCTTCTGTTACAAAGGTACCACCTGAACTTGCCGGGCAGCACTTGTGACTTACAGTGTTGATGGGTAATTCCCGAGCAGAACTGTCCTGAAGCTGGAGTTCACGTTCTGCAGGATGGCATTTTGGTCTCAGCTCAGCATTTATAGGCTCAGGTATTGACTAACTCACTACCAGCAGGGACCCATTAGGCATAACTTCCAGAATCTTGAAAATATGAACAGATATTCCTTGGATTCTTACCAAATCCTCCCCTCCAGACCGTGAAGCTGAACAGTGGGTAGAGCACGGGGAATGTGAGCTGCAAAGCAGCTAAACCCTTCTTTGAAGCTTCTGATGCCACATTATTTGCATGATCCACAGTTAACGTATGGGCTTGTGCCTGTATCGAGGGGGATCAGTTCTTTAATTGCTATCAGTAAATAACAATTATGACAATTTATACCAAAAGGAAAAAAATTCGGTGATGACCACATTACACCAATTTTTATTTATTTGGATTGTTTAATTCCATTCTTAGAGAAGAAAATATCTTTTCTTGTTCTCATTTACAAAATATGAGCTCTGCTCACCCACACACTGTAACATTTCAGATACCAGCATTTCCATGCAGGATTGGATGAGCTCTTTCTAAACCTGTTTGGAGGAAACATGGTTGAAATCTTCACAGCAGAAGACTTAAAAACAGTACTAGATGCAATTTTGAGGAAACCCTCTGTTTGGATGTATCTGTTCTATCCAGGAGAGCACAGCACAGGAGTCCTGAGCTGCTGCCAGTTGTACTAAAAGACTTACCACAGTTTAAGCTAAAAAAAAAATTAAAAAAAAAATCATACAAGTGATATAAAAGCCCATGTTGTGGTACTAGAATGGCACTGAATTAAATCTTCCAAGGGTTCAGATTATGCTGCACCTGTGTGCATCAGAGCTCCTGAAACCTTCTTCAGTGTGCCCTTGCTCAAGTGATGAGGCTGAAGGAGTGTGTGGAGTCAGTGTTGCTCAGCCCCCTTGCCTTTGGGTGGCTGGCTGTGGTTACTTGTACAACACAGGAAAATTCATCTCGTGGTAAAGATGTGCCTGATGGCCTCTGTCTGCATGGGAATTGGGTGCAGGGGCACATAATGCTTCCTGGGATGCATGTCAGCATCACAGATGTGTTTGGGAATAAGGCTTCATTTGATTTAACCTGGGGGGGGCATGAGAACCCATTGGTGTTTATCACTGAAATAGTCCAGAACATCAGAGAGGGAAAAATGGCTGCACTTTGTTCTTTTGCACCATAAACCAGCCATTCAGGTATTTCTCTCTGATCCACTTCCCAGGAGTGACCCTTCTCAACAGCAGGGATTCCTCTCTTGCCATGACTTCCTAAGCACTGCTCTGGCTTCTACCCCAAAGCATCTGTGCTTTAATATCTGCCACTTACTGACACAAATCCCATGCTTTGCCCTGGCCCTGTGCAATGGGATCCCAATTGTGGTGAGGGAGCAGGAAGAGAGTTATGTCACATAACCCAGTTTTGAAATCCTTTGTGATTCATGGGATGTAAAAAATGCTACTCTTGTCACTTGTGTCAGACACAGTAATAGGAAACAACATAATCAGTGAATTCTGATGGTTCTTGAGCTTCAGTTCCAAACTCGATCCCCAACTGGCACTTTGAGACTGCTGTGGAGGAGAGTGGACAGTATGAAAACATGTGAAGAACAACTGCATAGTGTCTGAGTTCCCATTTCATTTCACCAGAGGCTTCTTTATACAACAGCTTTTAGCATCTGCTGTTTTCATCCAAGAGCAGAACACGAAGTCAGCCCAGGCAGAACTCCAGTCTGAGCTGTGGCAGCAGCTGCAATGCATTTATGGTAAAGTCAAGGATGTTTCCATCTGATGCCTTTGTTTGTCTAACAGCAGTCACAAGGTCCCTCTTCCCCAGCCTCTGGGGTCAGTAACAGAACAAGCTCACTGGCCAGTTCCACTTAATTATTGTTCTTTTTTGGTGAATTAAAGAATAAATGTCAGTGTGTGACTGTGCCTTACTAATGTGTGTGGTTATTAATAGCCAGTTTGGTCTCCCTTCCAGCCTATGTGCCACAAAATACATTTGCCTTTGGTCTCGAGAATCAAGTAGTCTGGGAAGCCACTGTTCTGTGGAGAGACGGGACAAAAAGCTCATTGAACAACCCTTCCTTTTGAACAGCAGACTGATCTCTCTTTTTATTTTTAGGCTGTTGATGACAAAAGTTGCTTTCTTGCTTTACTTTTCACAGATGAAGACACGTTCTCAATTTGGACAAAGACCTCCCCAGCCATAAGCTGCCCAGAGTGGTTACATTTTATTTAAGACGTTTTAAATGTCTTTTGGTTCATTATAACCTTGAATTCGCACCTGGAGAAAGAGCCACACACTCTAAGAGAAATTCTTTTAATTTAGTGAGAAAAATAAGAAAAATTATTTTTGCAAAAGGTTTTAGAGGACTAAAGTACAACCAAGAGAAGCATTCACTAGAACACCTAGCACAAAGACCCATTCCACAAAAACCACCCACTACAATCAATATACCAGCTTTAGTGAAACACAATTAATTGGTTTTAAGTTACCCCAAGAGAAGGAAAAGAGTAAAACAAAAAACAGATTAAAAGAGTAAAGAAGGAAGGAAGAAAGAGAGAAGGAGAGAAAGGAGAGAAAAAATAGTTGCCAATAAGAGGAGAGGAAGAGAGAAAGCTCCCGGGGAGTCTCATGTAATTCTGGAGTTCAGTTTTCCCTCCCAGGCAGGACGTGGTCAGTGCCTTGCAGGCCAGAGGGAGGGGTGCTGGAGCCAGTCACAGGCTGCAGGGGTGTGGGGTGCCAGGCTGTGAGTGCCACCCTGTGCTGTGCATGGGCTGTCAGTGCCACCCTGTGCTGTGCATGGGCTGTGAGTTACACCCTGTGCTGTGCATGGGCTGTCAGTCAGTGCCACCCTGTGCTGTGCATGGGCTGTGAGTTACACCCTGTGCTGTGCATGGGCTGTCAGTCAGTGCCACCCTGTGCTGTGCATGGCCCTCAGTGACACCCTATGCTGTGCAGGGCACAGCCGTGCTGGCTGCAGCCCTGCAGCTCTGTGCTCTGGGGGCCCCTGTTGGCTGCGGGGTGTGTGTGATATGGCAGCCTTACCACGGACCTGCAGGTTCAGACCCAGTCCTTCCACACCCACTCTCCCAGGGAGTTGGTTCTGACCCATATCAGTAATTCAGTGAGGTTCAGATGCAGTATCTCACAGGGGGCTTTGGGGGCTGGGGGGGGATTATGGAGTGTTTGAGAGCTGTGGGGGCTTTGGGGGCTGTGAGGGATATGGAGTGTTTGAGAGCTGTGGGGGCTGTGTCTCAGTTTAATGAGAATGAAGTGTTTTGCTCAGGAGGATGAGTTATGAGGAAAACCAAACTCCTCCCTCTAAGCAATTGTAAATCCAAAATTAAGAGGCTTCAATTGTGGAGAAAGAAAAAAATAACAACCCTTTATTAAAGGATATCTGTGTATGGGCAGAACAACAAAAGAACACAAAAACAACTAAACAATAATCCTGTACCCAAAAACCCCTTTCAAAAAGGAAACAGTTCAGTACTTTCCACCTTTTGGTGCAATTCTAACCACGGCCAGCAGGGGTTGGGCTCTGTTGGGCTCTGGCAGTCACCACGTGGGGACCCCGAAAATGTTTGTGAACAACAGGCTTGTGGCTTTAGGCAAAGCTGAAGTTGTTGAGTTAGTCCTTGCACCCTTCACACTTAACCAGCACCATAAAGATCCAAGGACCTCAGCAAAAACCTAAACTTCATGCTTAATCCCTAAAGCATACATTTTGTAGAGTTTGTGAACGGTACATATTCTGTTTATTAAGGGTACTGTGCAAACGAAATTCGCAAATACCGAAGAGGTTAACATTATTAGCAACATTTCTGCAGTTTAGCAGGCCTCTGTGAGATTAATAAGAAAAAAAATCATCCCTGTGGTTCACCCTTGACTGCTGCACAAAGGCCCTGTACCCCTGTTTTGACAAATGAGAAAACAAGGGCAGCAGCCTACATGTCTGACTGCTGGGAAAAATGAGTCCATATGCGTGATCCACACCTGATACTGGGTTATAAACAGACCCATTTGTGTGTGTTCCATCTCGGGTAGAAATTATACCCCTGACATTACCAACCTAGTGGCAGGTTTCCAGATTCCAGGGTCTGATTTTGGTATACTACAAGGCTTATTGCAGAGCAAAGAACATTAAGGACTGTTTTCAAAATGTAGGAAGATTTCCTGTAAAGATTTTCTGAAGTTCTTTTACTAAGTTTGCTGATTTTTATTTACTGTTCGTGTACTGTGTGTTTGGAGTCAGATGCTGATTGGTGTCACCTTTAATTTCTCTGGGAAGATTGCCCTGTACATAAGGTAAAACATTTTCTGTTGTTCATTATAACTGAAGTCAAAGGCTATCAGCAAGTTTATGAGTCAGTAATCAGAATAACTACTGGTTGATAACAGTCTTTCAAGCAAAAGAAGGTTCAAATTGAGTTTTTTTGTAGTAGAAGGACCACATTTTCCCAACATTTTTTCAAGTTCTTGTGACTTTAATACATAAGGAAATAATTTTGCATTCAACAAGAATGACAGTTTGTCTAAACAGAAAACAGGTTGTTTCCCAAATCTACAAAAATGTTAAACAAATCATTGCTAGATCATGTGCAAGGCCTGTCTTGCAGCTATTGATGCTGGACCCCTGAATTAACAGATATTTTGATACACAGAATGGGTGTGGACAGAGGTTACAGATTTATATCCCTGTTTCTCACAGCTCAGGGAAAATCTTTGAAAATCTAAAATGTGTGAAGAATTCATGAATGAAACTTAGGAAGATAATTTCAGTGTAAGACTGATCTGTTTGATTTATTGGTTTGTTTCCTTAGTCTTAAAATAATCTAAGTCTAATATAAAGAAACCCCAAACAACCCAGCAGTAAACCATAACAAATTGTTTACCACTGAAATATATACAGAAAAATTATCTGAGCCAACCACACTGTTAACAATAACACCTGTTTTTTATCAACTGCTTCATAGAACTCGATGGTAATTAGATGGCATACTGCAAACCAGGAAAACCAACACTAAAATGCTTTGTAATTTTTGGTTTTGTGCAAAATGTTAAATGGCTGAAACAAATGACAAACGTGGTCATATTTATGCCATCCCCAGAATTTAAAAAAAAATAATTAAGTTATTAGATGGTACATTCAGTGCAAAAACTGCTCCACGTGCTTAGATCTAGCCCTGGCTTTGATTTGGACTGAAGTAATGTTTAGAAATGCATCTCCTTGTTCTCACTCTGAGGACAGTCAGGCACTGGTGCCCAGAGGAGCTGAGCAGGCTCCAGCTCTGGAGGTTCCCAGCCAGCCCTGAGCACCACGGTCTGACAGCAGCTGATCCTGCCGAGTGCCCAGGCACTGCCAGCAGCAGGGACCCTGTCCTGAGGGAGGAATGGCATGGAACTACTCTGAGTAAGAACCTGCAAGCATTTCTGTTTGTAGGTTCACCATCACTTATTTCTTTAGACAAAGTACCCTCAGCTGGTATCTGATCATTTACAAGCAGGTTTGGTTTGAAAACAGACTGCTAGGACTGAGTTAGACCTTGACACCATCAACTGTTGAAAGCTTGATATGTGATTCAGCAAGGACCTTAAAAATAAGAAACCAGACTGAAAAGCATACAAAATTGTACACCTGCACATCGAGCATCCTTTTCATATAAATGGTATATTAAATATACTGTAAGAATGACAGAGATCTCATCTTTGCTGCACCATCACCATGTCTTTGTACCGGGAGCAGGAACTCGTGCAGGCAAAGGTCCCTCTCCCACCCCACTCACTCCTGCAGTTCCTCATGGACCGAGCGCAGGGCCTGCAGGGCCTCCACTGTCACCCTGAGCTCCCCAATCACTGCCCCGCCATCCTGGCAGTCGAAAACTGCAAAGGAAACAGCAGAAAACATCAGCAGCCATTTAATTGAAGGTTTCACTTCCGTTCTAATAATTTTCCTTGGTGTTTGGACAGATTAAAAGGCACCTATCATATGCTAAAGAAAAAAGAGAAGAGAAGAAAGAAAGAAATAATAAAGAAACCTTCCCATTCAGCTCCTCAGCCTACTAGAAACAAAGGAGTCCAAGAACCAGAATGTGCAACAATAAAAGTATTAATGTTGGAATTAACTTTGAAATAAAAAAACTATCGGTATAATAACTGCCTATATAAAATAATGATTTTTCACAATATGTAAATACAGATGTTCCAAACTCTGTTAAAGACATTATATGCATAGTTAGGAATAGTTTTAAGTAAAAATCTAACACTTAATGCATTTGCTACACTGTGTGCCTGATGGGTCCAAATCAGTTATTAGTATTTAAATAGTAAATTGGTTTTTTCAGTTGTTGCAATGCAAAATTATTTAAATTCCAAGCTTCTATGTGCTGTAAAAAAGTGAAGTGCAGACAAAGATGGTATACTATCTTCATCTTTGTGTACGTGCATTTTAAAGTAGTAGTTAAAATCTGTATTTTACAGAAATTACCAACATGATTTAAAATTTGATTTTACAATATCTAGGTAAGCCCAGAGCCAGAATCCCTGCTGCTGTGATTAAAACATGATGCTCAGTCAGAGGTGAGGCTCTTTCCCAGTTGTACCCATCAGTCTGGGGCACAAGGTTTGCTGTGAGTTCTCATCAGGCTGAACAAAGACAGCGGGCGTGTGGCAGGGAACTCTAAATGTTTTATTGTATTGTTGCCTTATCTGTGGCAACCAACCCACTGTTTAGGCTCAAAAGGTGTTGGCCAACAAGCCCCTGAATTCTTACAATACACTTCCACAACAGTGGTGGCCAACAAGTCCTTCATTTCGTACAGTGCACTTCACCAAGTTCTCCCCTCCCACAACCAACTGCTCAAAGGTGCTGGCACACAACCCACAGCCCACAACCCACAGCACACAACCCACAGCACACAACCCACAGTACACAGCACACAACCCACAGCACACAGCACACAACCCACAGCACACAGCACACAACCCACAGCACACAGCACACAACCCACAGCACACAACCCACANCAACCCACAGCACACAGCACACAACCCACAGCACACAGCACACAACCCACAGCACACAACCCACAGCACACAGCACACAACCCACAGCACACAGCCCACAGCACACAGCCCACAGCACACAGCCCACAACCCACAGCCCACAGCACACAACCCACAGCACACAGCACACAGCACACAGCCCACAGCACACAACCCACAGCACACAGCACACAACCCACAGCACACAGCACACAGCACACAGCCCACAGCACACAGCACACAACCCACAGCACACAGCACACAACCCACAGCACACAGCACATAACCCACAGCACACAGCCCACAGCACACAGCCCACAACCCACAGCCCACAGCACACAGCACACAACCCACAGCACACAGCACACAACCCACAGCCCACAGCCCACAGCACACAACCCACAGCACACAACCCACAGCACACAACCCACAGCACACAGCCCACAACCCACAGCACACAGCACACAGCACACAACCTACAGCACACAACCCACAGCACACAACCCACAGCACACAGCCCACAGCACACAGCACACAACCCACAGCACACAACCCACAGCACACAGCACACAGCCAAAGGTGTGCTGCCTGACAGGCCACAACACCACTACAGAGAGGGGCTGGCTCACAAGCACACACTTCACAAGCTCCCCACTCCCACAGCAAATGGAGCTGGGATAGAATAATGATAGCTGTTCTTTGCCAAAGCAAGGGGGGAGAGAAAACAAGACAGAAAAGAGAGAGGGAGAAAACAAAGAATGTCAGCAATCCTTAGATCCCACACTGGTCCTGCTGTGGGGATGGTCCAGAGCAAAAGAGAGAAAAAAAGAGAGCAAGGGGGCCCAATCCCCTTCCTTTTATAGTTAATCTGCTGCAGCCCCTTCTGTAAACTAGATTTTTTGTGCCATTTTGCTGCACGTGCACAGCCCCTTTGAGCCCTGTGGGCAGTGAGCTGGGGGGGACTGACCACGAGTGCCAAGCAGGGCAGGGAACTGGCTCAGCACACACTGCCCCACGGCTGCAGGACCCTCTCCTTCCATCACCTTTCCTGTCTGAACAGTCAGAATGCTTGAGACAAAACGTGCTCAGGCCTCATCCTCCACACCAGTCCTACCTAGAAAGCAGTGAGGCAGCCTTGGCACCTCCTGGAGGTGACTCCAGGAGGAATTGGAGTAAAACCAAATCATCCTGACAGCACATCTTTTCAGAGCCAATTATACAGCTGACTGAGGGCAAGGTTATGTATGAACTCCATCCACTGGGATAAGCACTCAGGACATGCAGTGATGCTGCATGGTACAGCTTCCAGGCTGCTGGGACAGAAGGAAAAACCCAGGATAAACCTTCCATCGTTTATGTCACTGAAAGAGTTATTACAGGACAGATTTGATGCTGTTCTTGGAGATCTGAGCCATTTTGTACATCCTTGGACAAATCACTCAGTGAACTTCAGGAGCAGACTTGAGGGAACAGTATTCTTTTTACTTACAAGAACAGCAGGATAACTGTAATTAATTATGTCAGAAGATATGATTAATTCTGTTTTCTCAGTTTTAGTGCTGTCATATTATCTCTGAGACATATTGTCAGATGTTTTGGCTACACTTCTTCACCCATCCTCTTGCTTAGCCATTCACTTAATTGCTTCAAATCTCAGGTAGGACACTTCTACACAATCAGCAGTGAAAGGACAAGAGATGAAAAACATATATGCTTGCAGTCCTCAAAGAGAATGAAGGAATGTTATCTGACTTAGGAATGACTATATTCATAGTAGTGTCCTATGAATGTCCCTGTGTCTATGTTTATTGTTTTTCCTTAAACCATTATCTCCCTCAGAGAATGTGTACAATATTACTTAGGAATTATATTTATTGTGCCCTTAAATTTAACAGAAGTCTGCATCCAGACTTAAAACCAGATCCTTTTAGAATGACTTTGTTCAAGAAAATATACTGATATATTCTTTTGCCATGATCTGACATATATTAATGTAAAATTAATTTCAATTCTCTGGAAGATCTACATTTTCAGAAAATATGCAATGTTATATGTTATGGATGCAATAAGACCCCCAAAAAACTGGATGGCATATGCAGGGAAGAGGAGAAGTGTGGATGGAAAAAGGAGAAAAAGTATTTCTAGTCCTTATTATCACTTTCATAGATAAAATTCACATAAAGTAAAAATTTGTTCAAATATCTGATGATTAGAGGAAGAAATGTTCCTCACAATATTGAAGCAGTTGGTTGTCATTACACAGTATTGATTAGCTTTTGACAGAACAGTAACTATTAACCAAACCCAGTCTTTTCTGTCCTAATAACCTTCTCAGATGATTATTAGAAGTTTTAAGAGTTTTGTGAAAGGTGATTTTCAAAAACTGTATTTACGTCACTAATCAATCATCAAATGGGAATTATGACAATGGGAGTTATGGCCATAAAATCCAGAACAAAAATAATCTCCCAGTGAGAGACTACAAAACACCTCTTTGGAGGAGATGTGCTTTTGTACTTGGAGAAAAGTCACTGGTGCAGAAAAGCTCACGTTGCTCAGTGACAGCAGGAAGTGCACCAAATCTGTACACTACTTTTCCAGAGTATAGGAATTTGATTCTTCTTAGAATTTTCCTTATCATGTTCCTGGAACTCTGATGCCTGCTTTGAGTACTTCAGCAACGGCGTGGATGCAAATGGTGCATGATAAATAACCTGGGTTTATTATAAGCAAATGAACTCAGTGGAAAAACAGAAGGGGGGGTGGTTTTCTTTTTCACTTAGTTCCAAGGGGGTTTTTTTAAGGTGTATCATGAAAGCTGCCAGGTGGAGGGTCCTGCCTTTGCAGACTTCTGCAAACAGATGTGGAAGCCATGAGTTAATATCAAAGCAGTTCAGACTGAAACAATGTCGAACAATTACTTGCACAGTAAGTCTTGCAAGGAAAAGTAGAAATCCAAGGGACAATTTTTAGGCTACAAAAGTCAACAAAAAAGAGATCTTTAAGACTTACCATCAATGTCTTGCTCAATGATATCTCTTTGCTTCTGGAATATCTCTTTCAAACTGACATAAGCGAAACCAATATCCTCACACTCAAGGTCCTGCTCGTCTTCTGGGGGATCACTGACCACTGTAAATTTTAGGCTAAACACGAAAAAGCCCCCCCCAAAAACAAACAAACAAACAAACAAGATATTTTACCTTCAAAAAAGGTTAAAAATCGAATAAAAAACCCATAAAAGAGGCAAACCCACACTATTTTAAAAGTGAATTATATTCAACATTTCCCACTGCAAGAATATTCTGAGATCATTTCTTTGAACTCTTCCCTCCTCCTTTAGGATTATTTAGCAGTACTTTTAGGACAGAGAGGTTGTAACCCCAGATCTTCAGGCTTATAGAACTGATTCATTTCCCCTCCTCCCATCACTCCATGGTACAATCCTTATTCACATGGCTATACCAACAACTAAACCGAATATTTGCTTTTCTTCCGTGAACTTAAATGACACTCGTTGCATTCAAACAGAGTTTTTCTACCAAACACATAATTGTGTTGTGTTGTTAGAGCTGACCTGACTTAGTGGCTTGTGCTGAGGCCAAAACCACTGGGACTGACAAAGGACAGGAATGCAGAGCTGACATTTGCTGTGTCTTGGCAAAGCCAAACTGTGAATGCTCGTGTCCTACCTCGAGTAGGACAAGGCAAACCATGAGCCCTGTAAGAGATTCCCAGCACTAATCTCTACCTGTCAGCAGGTGGATCTGCCTTCAGAAGAATCGACTTGAGATACTCTCTTTCTGCACCATTATGTGCCTTATCCACATTTATCACTGCAAAGGAAATCAAAATGAATATAATTAGTTATCAGTTGGTTTTAACCTTTTAGGAGAAAGGGCATGAAGAAAAGAACGACGAAAAATAAACGTTTCTTTTGGGCATCTTAGACTAAGAAGGTACCTTCTTTCTTGCAAATTAACTCTGTGGAATACTATAAAAACTCAGGATGCAAAAACTGAAGAAGTGCTAAAGGAATTACTTTTTTTTTTTTAAGAAAAAAATTTGCTAGGACAGAACTTGACTGAATATATATCCCTCTGAAGAACAAACATAGCTCTTTGGAACAGTTTTCTTTGGCTTTTGAGGGGAGGAGGAGCTAGAAATGCATCTGTCTTTAAATTCCAACATTTTTACTATTCCTTCTCTTCTGTTTACTCTGCCACTGTACTCACAACTGTTTTTTTTCACTCTCCACGTCACATTAAGGTTTCCTTTTCCTCTGCACTCAGGGAAATCTTTAACATATTTCACACTGTCTTCTACCATCCAAACCAGACTTATTTGTATAAACAGAAAGTACCAATTTACCAAGGAGCAGAGAGTATTGAATACAGCAGTATGAAGAAAAAGAAGTGCTCCTGAAATCAGCACAAGAAATCAAGAGGCAGCAGGGGCACAGATGGACAGAGAAGTTCAGAGGAGCTGCCTTATTAACAGACTCTTCCCTTTCCCATAAGCATCCAAAGTGGAATTCCCCAAGTTCACTACTTCTGCATCTAACACAGTTTTAAATGGAAATTATTTACAAACTTAAGGAGTTCAAATTCATTTCATCTAATGGAAAAATTCAGGCTAATGAGTAAAACATCCAGCAAAGAACTCCATTCAAGTCCGGGGAAAAAGATGAACTATGGTGAAAATATATTTTTAGATCCTGATGAATTTCACGTGTTTAAGCAATGAATCTCGTGAAGCATTCCATATCAGTTTAGATCTTTTTAAAACAGTCAGGCAGTTCCAGATATAGATAATATAAAATGTTTTATTTATTAAAGGAATTAGTAATTTTTAGATAATTTATGGATTTACCCTGATTTTCTCCATACAAAGGTCTAAAAGACTATTAGTTTCCTTCTAAGCTCAAAGTAAATTTCTTTCTACCCATGCAAATCTTATTTTTATTTAAGAAAATATTCAATTAACCTCAAATATTCAGCATACTCAAATCTAATTAGACATGACTGGAAGATGCAGTAAATTGTCCTAAAAGTCTGCAGTTTTATTTTCTATTCATCATAGTTTTGCTGCATTTCATGAGTTTAATTTTGCAGAGTTGATACTTAAACAACTAAAATGCTCAGACTGTAGCTAATATACACAGGAATCAGAACATTGCCTAAGAACTTTTATACCTTCTCAAAGCTTCTTATATTCCAAGCAATGAGAGTTCCTGAAGCAAGAGAAATTAAAAGCATTTAAAAGCTTTTAATGGCTTATGGTATTATTTCAATGAGGTTTTAAAAACATTACTGCAGTTATGTCTGCCTGTCTAGAACATTTGGAAGAGTTTACACCTCAGAGAAAGAGCCCTTAAACTGATGATTTATTTAGTGTATGATGGCAGAAATCCCACTGGTTTGGGTGGAAGCAAAGCCTCAGCCAATGGAAGACTCTGCAGCACTAGTTTTTGTGATCCTGCTTTTCTTTCCTAAAGCCTTACAAAGACTCTTTCTTTTTCAGAGTCACAGCAGTTCCCAGCTGTGTCCTGTCATCACGTGGGCGATGCCACCAGAGCAGTGGGTGATGTGGCACCTGCAGGGATTTCAGTCTTCAGGGTGAGCCAACAGTTTATGAGCTACCTACTTACTAAGTAAGGAAATTCCCTGGCAAGTTACAGCTCAAATCAGGTTTGTAGATGGTAGCAATTTTAAAGATCTGACTGTGACACCACTTCTGCAAAGCCACTTTTACAAAATTATTTAAAAAAAAAAATGTTTAATTTGAATGTCTGTATTAGTGGTTTGTCAAAAATAGCAAACTCATTCACCTGCTCCAGGATATTGTCACCTAAAAGTCCAAGACAACATGAAGCACTCAGACTGAATCTTAATTGAAACAGACTTTAACAGGAAAGAAAAAGTTAATGAATAATTGAAATACTAAGAAATAGCTGGGAAAATAATTAACAAGAGAATTATCAATTATTACAATAGTTCTATGTATGCCAGTAGTGTAAATATGAAGTATTATGAAATAGTTAGCAATGTCTTAGTATTAAACATGGGTGAATAGTTTCCCATATTAAAAAGTTGTTATTTGTATTTGCAAGTGATGATCAAGTCCAGTTACATATTCTCTTTTCAACTGTATTTTAGTTGTATGTGGTTAGACAGAATGGTTTTCCTTTGCTGTACCATCATGTAAATAGAAAAATTAGTTCATCGTGCCCTTTTAAAAAGAATATACAAATTTGTTATGCATACTCTAATTTTAAAATTTACATGCTACCAGCATATTTAAATATATTGTGATGTTACTATTTCATGCACGAGCCTACTTCAGTATTTCATTTTGTACTTGAAAATTGCATCTTTACCTCATTTCTTAAAAACCACCATGAATATTTCCCAAAATATTTGGAAAACAGACAAATGCAGTGGGCACACAGACCAACCCAACTGCTGTGGCCAGACAGGCTTTACTGCAGGCGTTCCCATGTGCCCCAGCTGAAGGGAAGGAGCCTGCTCAGGAACCTCCCACGCACCAGTGCTGTAGTTGTAGTGGATCCTCTGAGCACCCGTGGGTTTGGGGAGTGACAGGGGGGTCTCCTCTGCAAGGAAATCGTTTAATCTGCATTCCACAAACAGCTGCTGGATTGTTTCATCCGAGGTGATCCGTGAGTCAGTCAGACCAAGGGAGGTGATTTTAATCCGGATTTTTTCCGCTTCCTGTTTAAAAACAAAACGCAAAATGAACACCCCACAAACATTCATACGTGTAAACCATCAGCTATTTTGTCTGATTAATGCTGACTGACTGATTTTTACATATACACAAGGAGACTCCAAAGCCCCAGGGTTTGTACTGAAGACTGTTGTTGCCAGAGATGCTGATTTCTATTTGATGTTTAAAATATTTTTGCAATAGCCACAGTCTGCTGGAGATTAGGTTATCTTTATGTACAAATGCTGTCTGAAGCAGAAATTTCAGCTGTCATCATTTTTAGCTACACAGCAAACTGATCTTGTAACTGCTTAAAACAGTTGCAGTGATACTGGGGACGAAAGTTTTCCAGATGAAAGAGAATCGTTAGTGCCTCCTGCAGTTCAATAAAAATCCATCAAGTCACAAATTGTTAGGCATGTAAAGTCACAATGTATTTGCAAGGAACTGAATGGCAAATACTGAACTTTCCCAGGTAAATCTAACGTACCTTTACAAGTTAAAATTAACAATATGGTAATAAAAGTAATATCCCAATTGTTCTTCACCAGAGTCTTTTTTTATTGTCTTTAACTGAAGCTGCATTTTTCTGTTCCTTATATGAAATTTTCATACTGTTCTGCAAAGTCTGGAGTACTTGTGTGCAGATAACTTTTAATAAGTTTGATGTATTTAAGTGGGAATGTCAGACTCAAGAGAAAGAATCACAAACAGTGCCCTGGTTAACTCTGTAATTCAAAGACAGAAAAGCCACTGTGGCATCAAAGTTGGAATACCCAGGTGAGCACTCAAAGATGACATTCTTCAAAGAGCAAACAGTACAGAAATGTCAAAGAATGGTTTTTGCTTCTTTCTTTTCAGGTTCATAACTTCATTAGAAATATTTCCCCCATACTGAAATATTTTGACAACTTTTGATTGTACACTTAAATCACCTGAAGGACTAAACCATATTCAAAAGATTAGCTTTCTAGACTCTGTCAGAACTGCAAATCAATATTCTTATTTATTATGGAGATAGCTTACATTTTTCCAAGCAAATTATATAATTAAACTGAAAAGCAGGTATATCCTATTGTAAAAATATCCATCATAGAGAACACTTTCCATTGCTGTCAAGTTCTTTCAGTACTTGATGAAGAATTTTACCCTCTTCTTTCAAAACATTTCCTTTTATTATGTATCTTAAGCCACTTCACCTAAAACCCCAAATCTGATTATTTTAATAAGGTTATTTTACTATTCAGTTGATTAATGGAAATTTAACTAGGATGACAGAAAAAATTCCACACCATTCTGTCTCCACTAATCCAGCTGGCAATACTACTGGAATTGGCACAGAACGATGGAAGAGTTAAAGGAATTCTTCTCCTAAAATCTGGTAAGTCAAATAACTGCCAAGGATCATTACAGTGATGGTCCTTGACTTGAATTATGGTTTTCATGTTCAAATTTGTAAATAAAATGAAACAAAATGAAGTATTCCATGATTAATCCTACATCATAGACAAGAAGAAGCAAATGGTACAGCCAGGCACTGGAAAATCTGTTAGATATCCCTTGTGATTAATGTAAGAAATAACCATGAACTGTCTAATTTGCAACATGCAAAAAACCCCCAGTGTGATCTTAAATGGCTTAAACAGTTTGGCAGATTTACAGGATAATTAGCACAATGATTTCTAAAAATCACAAAATGTATTTACAGTATTTGATTACCAGAAGGGTAATTATCTTAAAAGACAGTAATTTTTAATCTTTAAAAAAGCCCCCCAAATTCAGTAACAATTTTGACACGCCATATTCTATAACTAGCTCAAGAATTCAAACAAACCAATGCATGCTTTTAAAATCCAACTTGTATCAAATGTGTTGCCTTAGTATTTTATAGCTTTTATTATTTTATCTACCCTTCATGAACAGGCCCTTTGTTACCAGAGGAACAGACCAGTGGAGAAAGGCAGAAACAGATGAACCTGAAATGAACCTACACACAAAACTGTCTCAGAAATTCTCATTATTTCTTAAATAATTTTGATAAAATAAAATACAGGATGACTAGAAAAGTACCAAGCAACTGTATTATAGTTTGAATTAATACTGATAAGTAGCAGTCCTTTTAGTTCTCAAAATTACAGATGAAAATTTTTTAACGTTTTACATATAAATAATTCAATCTTCAAAAGTACCTCCTGTATCTTTCTTAAGAACATAGAAGTGACAGCATTTCTACACATCTGTGTAGCTGAAGATGTGTAACAGCTTTTAAGATGTACCTTTTACAGCTTATAAAAAAAGGAGCAATATTTCTCATCCGTGTTTCTTGTTGCTAGTTACTTTGTAAGATGTCACAGAACCTTGAAAAGAGCACTTCAAAAAAATCAAATTACCTCTAGGATACCCCACTGCAGAACACTAAAAATGGTTAAAACTGACTGGATATAAAATTACACCCCTGGTCCTTTAAAAGAAGGTCTGTTTGTTCTAAAACCCCCTGAGGAGACCAAGCCCTCTTCTGGTAGTGGAGGAAAGAATATTAAGAGGCATTATAAAGTGGAGTCACAATTCACTGAAGAAATGGCAATAAACACAACAATAATAGGAAAAGATGGTCCAAAAGAAGGAGTGGTTTAACCAACAAAGGCAAGATGTCACTATTTTGTATATTATGACTTCCTGTCCTGAATTGCTGGTTTTAAGAAGTCAAGAGATTGGATACTCTGCATGTACAACTTCACTGACAACTGATGTTAGATAGAGCAAAGCTACTCTTAGAGGACATTAGGCTTGAACTATTTTTCTCAGTCTTACCAAATTGCCATAGATACTCTGATTCAGCTGTTTAATATTTGTGGATACTGGACTTGAAATAATACAGTCATCACTGTCAGTTTTTATTGATTCAACAGCATCATCCTCTTGTCTATCATCTTGATCTGAAAAAAAAAATCAATGTAGCTAAAACCTTTATTTTAGACAATCTGAGACTTGCTGAGAAATCTGATAGTAATACATTTCCTTTTCTAATACATAAAGAATAAGTGCCAGGTAAATCTTCTCTTCATTGCAGAAGGTTAATACTGCAAATCAATGACCTTTAGAGTCACAGAAACTGTATTTTTTTCCTGGTTTGTTAAAAAAATAGTAATATTTCCCAGATGAAAGGTGGCAAATAGAATGACATAAGTCCTGTGATGAACTGAGGATGAACAACTGTTAGCTTTATATAAGAATATGGCCTGAATTTGTGGATTTCCTCTGACTTCCTTTAAAACCATGCACATGTAAAAGAAGAATGCACCTTTTTTTTTTTAATAAAAAGGTAATTCTGTATGCAGATGGATTATTTTCTAGAGCATTCAGGGTTTTTTTTTTCTCTGAAGCAAATGACTTATAATAAAGACAACATCACGTTTTTCCAGTCTTTCTAAGGAATTCTTATGCAGAAGCTGAAAACAATTAAACACAAAATTTTAGCATTCTGCTTGTGCTTTTACTTTTAATTTGGTAATGTGGACTTGGTTTATTTCAGTACTAAACAGTTTAAGCTCAGAGGTGGAAGAGGATTACATAATCTTTAAAAAAATCTTAAATAAATTATATAATCTTAAATAAATCTTTATAGCTTATATAATCTTTAAATAAATCTGCCTCTAACACCTTTAAGTCACAGATGTGATAAGGGATACCACTCCTCTCACTGTCTGAAAGGATTTCTGACACCAGCACTGGCTGTTACCTGCACCCAAAAGGAGCATATTCATTAAAACAGTCTTTAGAACAGCCTATTTCTAAGAGAGAATATAAATATCCTTTAATATTTTATGAATCTAGGTAAGATACCAGATTTTTGCAATCAACTACAATCCAGTTTCCACTTGGGAAGATCATCCACCACCCAGCTCCAGCTTGTAAAGCACCCCAGAATCTCAGTTTCTCATCATGAGGCAGCTCCCACTGCTAGTAAGAAATGCTCATGAAAATGGAAAGAGCCACAGATTTCTGAAATACAGCTACTTACTAACAAAAATGAATTCTACCTTCTGGTTCCAGTTCTTCAATGACTTCTGTCTCATCTGCAGAAGGAACTGATGTTTGCTCAGGTAACTGCTGCTCAGAGAGATGTGAGAGCTCTTCTTTCCCCTGCTGAATTTCTTCAGCCACCTCCTTCCCCTGATCCTCTGATGGCTGTTTAACCTCCTGCACCACACGCTGTAGAAAAAAATACACTTACAGGCTGTATAACATTCCTTGAACAGTAAAAGCTACTCAAGTTCAAAACTTGAACAGTTGTGGCCCACATTCATTATCCACAGCCTTTAAACAACTGTATTGCTTATGAATGCAGGAAACAGCTGGCTTTTAATTAATGCAACACATTATTATTATTATTATTATTATTATTATTATTATTATTATTATTATTATTATGTAATATTAATACTCATAACCTTTTAAAATTACCTGTTGAAAAACTTTCCTTTACTTACTGGATTTAATTAAAGGATTAAAGACAGCCTATTCTTAGTTCTCTGAAGACAAATTATTTCAGATCAAATGAAAATTTACAGTATGCAGCAGAGATGTTTGAGTTAGTTCCACACAGACTCTCCCAGACTCTGGCAGGATGTGCAGATGACAGTGTATCCCACATTTAGCAGTGTAATTGTTTTCCCAGCGTGTGCAATCTCAGCTGATAAATCTCATTCAAAGGGTGACTCTGAACTGTGTCCTGTTGCATCTCACTGGCACAACACCCAGGAGCTGTTTGGATCATGCTTGCTTTCTCCAGAGCCATTTCTGTGCTGGTGCAAGGGGTGCACTGTACAGAGACACTTTAATAATGCAGAGAGCTGAGAACCACAGTGCAGAGGGACTGGATTGGTCCTGAGAGAATTTGCCCTAAGCCTGTGCAAGGTGAAGCTTGTGCAGTGTGGAGCACATCAAGCACTTGGGAGGGTGTCACACAAATATCCCTGCACTGTGTTCCCCCCCTGTGTGCAGTACTGTGCTGTCACTCAATGCCTGGGACATGCCAGGACTGTGCTGGTAAAATAATCAAGTGTTCTTGATTATTAGTTCTACACACTGTCCATACTGAGCCATAAGTAGCCTTTCATGCTTCAGCATGTGTGACAAGAATAATTAGAACTTACTGCTCCCTGTATTGCACTGAGATCCAGAAAAGAGACCCTCCTGTCTGCCTGTGCTGCTCGCTGCCTCCGGCTGGGGGGTGGTTTCTGTCACCAAACAAAGACAGGAAGAGCATTTATTGCCACAGTCTGACCATCTGATATTACAGTAATTAGGAGAGCCCCTGATTTGGCTCAAAGCCAAGTCTGATGGCACTAAATTCAATTCTAAATGGATGAGATGATTTAGCAGAACTCACACACGACACACTTCTCAGGTTACATCATGGAACCCATTGAGATTTTCATGTAATATAAACTTACATTATAAAATAATATAAAACATTAAAGTTACTCCAGACCTAGAGTAATTTAAACAGCTTAGATTAAAAAAAGCCCATTAAAAACTCTAGTTAATACATTTCCACCTGATAGCTTTTATTTCTTAATCAACTGTTATGTTTGGAAGTCCCTTCTTTTTCTGTGACTCTTATTTTAACTTGATTGTACTGTGCATTATATTACCAAAATTCTCTTCAATATCCAGTAAAAAACCCAATAAAAAACCCAAAGTGAAGTAATATCATAATACTCAAACATTTCTGAGTATTTTCTCAGAGACTTTTCTGAACAACCCATTCTAGTGATCTGACACCTAGTTGGTTTAACATTCATGAATATTGTACTAGAATAACATGGTCACAAAATCTGTCATGGCTTAAAAAAATTAAATATAATACTTTCAAATGTTCTGATGACAATTTCAGTAAAAATAAATAACTGAATTTAAGACTTTGCCTCTTTGGGAAAGGTATAATTCAACTGGTTCTTGAACTCTTTATATGAAAAACCTGTCATTCAACTGCTGTTTTCCAGTTCAAGAATCTTTAACTCCGTTAACTTTCAACACATCAAGACTTGAATTAAACTATGTGAACTGAAAAAGAAAATTAGGCCACCCTGAAGCTTCTCTTCTCCATGAAGTAATTCTCTCTGTGAAGCAGAGACCCAAACATACCTGGGATGGCTGTTCATGTTCCCTAAAACTGGATGTCTGTTTGTAGGGAATAATGGCTTGATCCATAGGAACTTGTAACCTGACCCAGTATTCTATGGTACCGTAATTTTGAACATGTCCTGTTTTTCCTAAGGAATAAATAAGGGATTGCATTAATTTTCATTTCAAAAATAAAGCCCTTCAGTAAAAAGCTAGGAAGCCCCACAAATTAGAGATTAGCTGACTTGTGCCTGTGCATTATGACAGTGTTTGTAACAAGAGATCTGTAGCTCATGTTAGAAACAGAAACAACTCCTCTGGCTCCACATGTATGATCCAAAATTCAAAATATGACTTTTTCATACTGTAATCTGCAATACTTATTGTGCAAGGTGTAGAGTGAGTTCAAGTCAAGTTCATTATTTTAATCTCTTCAAAGCAAATAAAGCTTAGGACAGTTTTGTATGTCAACAGTTGGAAGTGTCCCAAAAAGTGGTATGTAATTTAAATTACTGGCAAAAGTATCACTTTATAAGGGCTTATTAAACCAGATTCTTTACAAAAGTGGGCAGTTAGAGCTCACTGAATATGCTGATCTGACATTTTTGAAAGTAAAAGCAAGCAGCACAGAACATTCAATACTTCTTAAGAGTGTCTTGTCCAGGATACCTTAGAATTATTTTTAAATTATGCACAATTTTAAAATAATGCACAAAATGTAAACCAACATCCCCACAGATTATTCATATAATATATGAAATATTATTAACCATAATCTCCATAGTTTGCACCTTTTTGATGCTTTGCAACTATTATATGAAGACCTTTGTCCTCCCAGTTTAAATTACACCGTTTCTTCCTTTATTTATTGATAAGGAGTAAGAGGATATATTGCTGACATTTGGGCCAGATAGAAAGCCCTGATATTTGATATGGGTGAAGTGGGGGTCCCTCCCAGTTCGGTTTTTTTCCCCCCTTTTACCCTAAGCCATTACGAGCAAAGCTGCACCTGGCCAAGCTTTCCCACCACAGCTGGTAGAGCCACCAGAACCTGCTGCACATCCCACAGAAAGCAGCCCTCTGCAGAAAGCAGCCCTCTGTAGAAAGCAGCCCTCTGCAGAAAGCAGCCCTCTGTAGAAAGCAGCCCTCTGTGGAAAGCAGCCCTCTGTGGAAAGCAGCCCTCTGTAGAAACCTTGGGTTTTTCTCCTTTTGAACCAGTAATAGGCAAATTCAGTTTTTGCCCAAATACACACGGCTTCCACTTACAGCAGGGTATCAGACAGAGCACTCTGTGCCATTTGAATTACCAGCTAAGTTTGCTGTGCTGTGGATCCTGCCGTTGTCCTCCAGGATGCCCCTGAAGCTGAGGTGGCAGGCGGCCAGGGTTTGGTACTCGACGCCGTAGGCGCGGTGCAGCTCCAGGGTGACGCTGCTCTGCTGGATGTAGTGGCAGAAGGTGTCGTCAGCCTGCACCAGGTACTGGGAGGTGAAGTCATAGCATGGGGCACCTCCACGGACTACTGGGCTTATCTGAAGTTCAAAGTCATAGAAGGCATAAGTACAGAAAGTTGCAGGTTCCTGGTCACCGAAAGCGTGCATGGCTTCGGGAGAGAAGATCGCTTTGCTGATGTGAATTTCAAAAAGGTTCTCTCCTTTCTCTAAATGAATAGTTTCAACAAATCCATCCATGGGATCACCTGGGGATATTTCTGGTCTGGACTTAGGGGATTTTGCATCGTAGACGATATCTCTTAGTTGGGCTGCAACAGATAAAACAGAGCTATAATACGACTGTCTTTTTAAAAATCAAATATAATTAATGGTTGAGTAGAAAGGATAAAAGCCTAACTCGATTCTATGAACAATGTTACTTTCTTAAAGGCACTACCAAAAAGAAGAAATCACACTTTAAATCATACATTCTCACTGAGAACACTGACAACAATCAAGAGGATTTCTCAGTGGCCCTGCTTCAGTAACCATAAAAACAGGCCCCTAACAGTTATTATCAGGTTACAAAGGAGTTAAAAAGCAAGAATTCAGAAGTTTGATGCACTGTTCAAAATAAGTATCACTGTGCAAATGTACCAGAGATTTAAGATGCATGTTTTTGTAGGGAAAGAAACAATGCATCTGACTTTTAACATCTGTGGGTAGGACTCTCAGCAAAACCCTTTCCCTGTTGCCCAGCTTTGGGTGGTCAGTGGTTAACATGTGGCTAACAAAGGCCAGAGAGGGCTCTGAGCAGCCTGGGCCAGTGGGAGGTGTTCAAAATCAGTCCCAAACCAAGCTGTTCTAAGATTCTGTGATTCTGTGAAATCAAAATACGTGCTTACAGACCCAGGACATAAACCATGATGCAACTTGGAAGACAAAACATGAGAATTGTTACAACATCAGGCTTTGTAAGATTTTCTATTTCAGGTTTCTTATGCACCTTTTACACAGTGAAGTCATTAAAAAACTATTTGAAATTCATCCTGTTGAAATAATATGTCAGTATATTATAACATGACTTCAGGGTTTTTAGCAACAGGAGGTGATTCTGTAATGACAGGACTGCAAAACAAAAGGCTGACCATAAACATATGATTTACTTAAAAAAATCAAGTTTGGTAATTTTATTCTTATTCAGCAATAGCTGCAGCACAATCTGCTTTGTTGGATTTTGTTTGATTAGTAACTGTCATTGAAGTCAACAAAATAATTTTCCATGAAAGAACTAACCTTTCTACCAGTTTTAGGAATGGAAAAGTGTTTCGAGTGAAGAACAGATTTACAACAGTAATTTACAAGAGATAAAATATAAAAAAAAAAAATTAGAGAGGAATCATATAATGTGCTGGGTTGGAAAGGACTCATCAGGATCACTGAGTCCAATAAAGATACCTTCTAGTTTTCTAATCCGTGCAGCTCTGATATCAAGAAGGTGGGCATCCTGTTCCAGCTTGAACTCGTAGTCTTTCTGTATCCTTTCCATCTTTTTAGTCATTGTTTCTACTTCAGTCTGAAAAAAAATTCACGTAAAAATGACTTTTGAGGCTTGTCTGCACTGATATTGCAAATGCTTCTGGCAACAAATTAAAAGAGTTAGATTTGAGGTAAAAACATTTACAGCACCCAAAAATGCAGCAGTTTTTAATACATCAATGCAGCAATCAGTTCTAATTTCAGCAAAACCTAAACACATTATTCAGAAAAACAGAGTAGCTGTTCTTTCAGGACAATGTTCCTAACAGTTTCTTTAATAAGTCTGTTATTTTAAACTTAATCGAATGAGAAGTCAAAATATGATCAGCAATAATCCAGCAGAAGAGAGTGAAAGCAGAAAGGGAAGCTTATCAGATAAGCACAGTTACTGTCTTACCTGAAGAGCTGATAAGGGCTCAGAGATAATGCCAAGGAAGCACAGCTTGAGGGCTCTGATCAGGATGAGTTAAAAGACTACAATTATATTCGTTGGGACCTCAGGTTTTTTTCAAACAATACTTTCAACACCACCAAATTTTGTGTTCAGTTCCCTATGCACAGGCTGCCTTTGTTGCTTGCTGAATTTGCAAGTCTTGATTATTGCAGGTGCCAAAGCTACAAATGTTAAAACCCTAGTATCAGGTTATTTTCCACTGTAAAAAGAGTTTAGTACCTGGTAATCTTTGCTAATTTTGTGCTGCATAATTAACATATTCCTTGTCTTCTCAAGTTCTTGCACTGTTTCTGCATGTGTTAATTGCAGCTCCCTTATGGAGTGTTCTGAATCTTTATGGATCTCATCTTCTGGTTTTTCCAAAATCAGAGGGTCCCCATTCTTCTGCTGCTTTCGATCCTGGAGCAAGTTAAAAAAAAAATTACCAGAACAAACATTTGCAAAAGGTTTGGACCTATTTGTGCCTGACTAAATGCAACACTGGGATATACTTGTGGTAAACCAAGAAGACAGTCAGCAGAACTTTATAAATTTTGAGCACACAAAAATAGGAAGGAGGCAGACTAGAAAGTGTCGGGGTTGTATTAAGCAATGTAATCTTTTGATTACCAGGCACCAGTTAAAGCACATCAGCCATTCAGAAGCAATCACTCCTGTCTATCCAATGAAAATACACACTTGTTAATACATTTGCCTTTTCTATAATTAATAATCCTGCTTCAGTGAATGTATAAAATCTGAATTATTATTCTCAAGTCTACGTTACTTCTGTTATTAATGCTGGGGTTTTAATTTTCATCGAGGGTTTTTCGGTGGGTTTTTTTCTTTCTTTTTTTCATTATCCTTACATAATTATCATTTGCATTTCTGTTGCAGAAAAAGATTATATTTACAGTAAACACTTCCTCAAGAAAATAAAATGTAAGTCACTCAGTGGAAACTTGCTGCAAATTTTCTGAGTATTTTTGGTTTTCTGTTTCAATAAACAGAGAGAAGTTGCTAAGCATTGCTGTGTCCCACATTAGAACTTCCCTGCTTATGGTCTGCTCGCAGAAATCACAGAATTAGTGAACAAAATTGCCTTTAACAAACATTATAGGAAGAACAAAATGGCCTGGTAAGTCATTTGACTGAGAAAAATGGCTGCGAATCTGATTTAAAATAACAGAATTAATGCAAAATATATAGACTCCTAGATGGTTTGCACTGGAAGGGATCCTACAGATCATCTAGTTCCTCATAGGCTTACGCTGTGTAAATTACCTTTATAAGCACGAGAGCTTCATTGAGTTCTGCCACATCAACATCAGCTTCCTGAAACTTAGGGCAAAGGTGTCATCAGATGGGAATCAAAGAACAAGATACATTCTCAACAGACATGCCACTTCGC